ACGGATCTGGAACTTGGCGCACGATATCGCAATGCCGGATTCAATTTGCGAATCGCTAATGGCCGAACGGATTCGGTTCGTCGAAGTTTTAAGAAATTGGAGCTGCGTGCGTTCGATGTACATCGAAATGGCACGTTCGGCTATTAGCGTCGAATCCAGCGCGAATTTAATGGCTGTACAGCATGGATCGCGGAAAACAATGACGATACTTTAAAGTGAATTTTTAATGTATTTTATTAATAAGTTAATTTATTAACAGGATTAATTTTGCGTCATTTTTGTTTCTGCTGCGAAAATAATTCTCTTTTCCAATCACAATTTACAGCATATCTTGTATAAAGAGAGCAGAGGATAATCTGCTCATTTTTTATCATCTAGATAAACATTTATTAATTTATTACTTATAAATATTTTAGAGGTAAAATTCACAGAAAAGATATTCTAATCAAAACACATTAAATTGACATTTTCCTTTCTCTGTACACAAAACCCATTCAGCGCTTCTCACAAGCGACCTAATTAAAAGCACTACGTAATAATATATTGTCAAACATCTAACAATATATCGCTATGATTCAGGAATCCTGAATACAAATTCAAGATTCACGAGATTGGCGCAACCGCGGCAGTTTGCTCGCAAACGCGAACTAATGACAATATTATTCACTCGTGAGTTATCGAACGGAATTCGCCAATCAATGCTCTCGTATGAGTTCTCAAATCGGATAATCCCGGAGACTGAGCCACTCGTAATGAATCTGATCGATCGTATCGGGAGGCAGAGGGAGAAAAGGAGGGATGGAGGGACACATTCGCATACGAGGACACATATCGAAGATGAACCCGAAACGCGCCGCTGAAGCAATTTAGCCGCGGATTCCAAACCGCATGGCAGAGCGTCGCGAATGGAAAGTTTGGAATGGAATTCGCAGGACCTCTCACAGTCCTCGGAATTTTGGCGGCAATTAAGACCAATGTTCAATGAACGATCCCTAGACGGCGAAGAGAGAGAAGTTGCGAGAGGGATGGAAAATTAGTTCGGCCGGAGAGATGATAGGAACGATGTATTGTGACATTTGCGTTATAATGCGCGGCAATTCCGCATAAATTGCATACATTTCAAGCAGGAACGTATAACGTTAATACGCGCGTTAAAATTGCATATGTAATATCGATAAAGCTCTTTCCGCTGCGCACTTCAGATGAAAATTGCACGCATTTGCATCTAAATTTCCAGGATAATTATAACAACGTCAAAATTTTAATAAATCCAAATGAATTTTTTTCGGATCGCGAATAAATTATTCTTGCGATTTTTTGTCAATTTCTCCGATGGCTCGATGCATCAATATCCGTGTCGTATTATTCGATAACATTTTAATAACACCTCTGGAACGTAACCTCGAGCTTAAACGAGAGAAATTGAAAATTGATGATTGAAAAAGCATATTGGCAAAAATAACAAGAAATACAGTTTCTGCAAACTTAACTCCTTGAAATTTTCAGCAAGAAATGTTGGCAGCTTTCTGGCGCAAGGTAAAGTCGCATTCGGTGGTGTTAACTTACACTGAGAAAAGTACTCGTAAAATTACTATTAAACTCGTAAACTATTAAAAGAGAGCGTGGAAGTTTAGTTTATATAAGACAGAGAATAGGGTTCCCTCTTTCTTTCCCGATATCGTTATATTTATTAAGAAATCTAATAAGTTTACCGGCGAGTGCAAACTTTCGGCAGAAGCAAATTTAAATATTGCAAATACGCTGGAAATTTGATACCTCTCCCGTAAATAATACGGTGGATCTTCTCCATCCAGGTATCCACAAAGACGATCTCGGCGCCGCGTTTATTTAAGAAATCGGAAGTACTGCCGGAAGAGACCAAGAATTTTATCAAAGGGAAATCTCGTTCGTCTCAATGGAGCGAGATTTGCGAGATGAATATCTTCCCTGGACTGCCGACATTTTTATCAAATAAAAAATCACGAATAATTCGCGTATTAAATCAACCTCTGAGGATTCCGAGAAGATTATTAACGTTACGTATCGCTCCAGATCCCACGATTTTGCATAAAGAAAATTTCAGTATCGGAGGGATAAGCAAGCTTCCGCAACGTGGTAATATTGATCGAGAAATAATTACACGTGTCAAACGATGGAAGTGTACACAGTCCAGCTGCGAGCAAGACGGCGCTCCGAAAAAACCTCGAGGATGCATCGAGGATCATCGACAATCCGCGGAATCTTGCGCGGAAAGCACGCGCGAGAAATCTAACGACGATTGTCAACGAGTATCCGAGATATCGGAGAGTCGCCGAAAGTCTTGCGGCGACTTATTGAATCGTCGGGAGCACTGTCGGTCGATTGAATCCAGTTCCCCGATCCATTCCGACAAACCTGTACAGTACAACGATCGGCGAGCATGCGACTCGATCGAGCACGAGACCCGTAAATCAGTTTTAATAACGTGTGAGAACTGGACTTGCGGAAAATCAGCAATGGAAAGAAAGATTTATCACAAATGCAAGCCAAAGCCGTGTACTCCAAATATTCGTGAAAGAAAATCAGAAGAAGAGAAAAAATACGAGCCAAAAAGAGTCGAGACTGCTCATTCCGCGCGACAACATTTTCAAGCTTCATATTCGGAATCAAAATGTGAGAAAAAAACTTCTCTCGCGAAACGTCAAATGTCAAAACCATCTTCCGCGTCAGATGCTAACGAGCAGATAAAACCCGACCCTCCGCCACCGAGATACCAACACTGGAGCGAGAATCCACCATTTTATTGCGATGCTTGCTCAAACAAGACAGCTCGTACATCCCCTGTTAAGCCTTCACCGATGATTTTTATCCCTCGAAAGGAGTCGTGGATATCTCGAACGAGAGGTAAAGGTGTCGCATCATCTCTTCAAGATATTCATGAGGATCGTGAAAAGAATACGAGTAAAAATAAATGCAACAAAACAGACACTAAGACGAAAATAACATCGGACTTGCCGAAGAGTGCATCGGAAAAGTGCATACCGGATCGTGCGATCTCCTTTGAAAATAAATGCGCTGCTTCTTTGACGTTTCCTACAGTTGTTAACAAAACGAAGCCGAGAATCGTCCAACAATTTCCAAGGTTGACGAGAAAGGGTGAGTGTCGCGTTGAAAAACCAACAAAAGATTTTGCTACGTCAGACGTCAGCGATTGCATGACGAGCTTCAAGCATCGATTGAGCAAGTGTCCTTGCATGAAGGAGATGTGGAGTATCAACGCCAATCGCAAATCGTCCGACACCGACGCTGACGCGCGATCGAAACAAGAAGCTTTCCTGTCCATCTGCGAGAAAATCAAGAAACAGGAGTCTTCGCGACCGCCGAAGGAAGAGGAGAGAGTAAGAGGGAAGAGATTCGAGACATCTGGCGGATGGACTCGGCAGAGATACAAAATTCGCCTGAAAATATTCCAGAAGGGAAATGGATGCCTCGATCCCTGTCTTCCGCGGATCATCGAGCTGCGACAACCGCGCGGTGAGAAAGTGCGATCGATCCTGTCGAAACTGTCCGGGATTGCTGACGGCGCAGGCAAACTTTCTCCGCGATTGAAGAACTCGTGTCGTCCACCCGGTTATTGTCCACCGAGGAGGCCGATTGTCGAGACGAAAAGTTACCCGACGAAGATGAACGAAAGCAAAGTGGTGCGCGAGAAAAACTTGGAAAAGAATCCTTGCAAAAAGCGTCGCTAAGCATCTCCAGAAGATTACTTTCGGGAATTAGCATCGATGGATGTAGACGATATACGTTATTTACACATATTTTGTACTTCAGATACAAGTAAAGACTTTAATATGGTAAATATCTGCAAAGAATCTGAAAAATTATTTTAATAAATATATTTTTTTTCAAATTTATATACAATTTCCGATAAGTTTAATATCGATGAAAATTACACGTCGACTAATATCTATGTTATAATTTTCTCTGGACAAGCATTTAATTTCGCTAAAAGGACGAGAATGTTAAGATTCTCTGCAACAGAATTTGCAGAGTACCCGTTCAATTTATCTCACCTTATTTATATTAACAAGAAGCATAGCATAACAGCTTCTTTATAAGTAAAATACATATATATATATATACGCGATATCTGAAGCGTAAAAGCACAGGAAGGGAGGCGCGGAAATGAAAAAATGTAACTCGGGTAGCCCGAGACGGCTGCGAAAGAAGTCCGCTCGTAGCAGCTGGCTCCAACTTTTCACGTTTATCATTATTTTCACCCCTCTCGTCGTACACCCTTATTTTTGTACCCGGTAGGAACAAACTTGCGCATCAAACGCCGTTATTTTATGGCCGGTATACATTTTCATTTCTGTCGGAGGATGATATATCTCGCAGCCCTAATAAACGCGACTCGGAATTTTGCATACATTTATCTTGTTTACATCGCACGGAAGTATAATGGGGAAAAATGAAAAGCGCAAATTCGCATCGGAATCCAATTTCGATAATTAATGCAGAATGCTAGGGGTAGGATTTTATATTATATCCGAAGATAAATATAATAAAATCCGGTTTTGCATAATATCATTGTATGTGAAACTGAAAATTTATGTTGAAAAATTAAAGTGGCTATTATAAGATATTGAACAAGTTATTATAGTAAAAAATATTAGACATGCATTGCATAAGTAACAGTCTTTCCTTTTTTATCTTTATCCAACGAGCTTGTAATTCCGCACAGGCAAGTCGATACAATGACACCAAAATTGCTACCTATCTACTGCGTACATTAACCCGCATTTGTTTTTTCCCTCTTCATTGAAATTGCGCACAATTAAGCAGCACGGAAAAATAGCGGACGGACGATCGCTACCGGTAATTTTCACGATCGTTAACTCCTAATTGAACGCCGATGAACAACCGGCTCCTGGCCGACCGTTCTCTGTCTAACGGGCTCGAAATGAAAATCGCGGCGATGTTTTCACGATATTCATACGGAACAATTCGCATTGTTACAGATAAATGATGATTGGTTCCACATGGAGCATCGATCCGTGGCGAAGAGATCGACGGAGCCGCATTTCGAAGTGCATCAGAGGCTAACGAAAGACTACAGAGTACGTCGTGCGGAGCAGCAGCGGGCAAAATCGCGTACCAAGAGAGATCTTATAATCAAACGTCCGTCCAATATATTAACCATGCTAAATGACGAAAGGTGGCCTCAAATGTGGTATCTGGTAAGTCATTTTATAATCTCAAAAACTCTTTATTCTTCATGATTATATATTATTGTTTCGTTGTTGCATAGATACAATTTTACATACTTCAATTTTTAAAATTATAATATGAAAAATTTAGTAAGTGCACTGTATAATTTTTTTAATATCTAATTTTATAATTGTATGTGTGGAAAAAGATATTTTGTATAAACGGTATTTCCAAATTGAAAGACTTATGTAGACATAATGATATTCTCTTGGTATTTATCGATAAATATAAGAGGATCTATATTTAGCTGCATTTTATAATGTAACTTTGAAAAATTATACATTAAAATAAAAAAAGTAATTTTAAAATTAAAAATAAAAATTATTTAATGCGATCAATAATACAAAATTAATAAACTCGATTAATATCGATTCTGAAAACGCATCGACATTTGTATTATAAACGAAAACGCTACCGCCTGAAAGTGGGAAGTCAGAAGTATTGGATAATTTTTTCAGAATAGGGGAAAGGGATTGGATATGAACGTGCAGGGTGCTTGGGCCGACGGAATTACTGGGAATGGCGTCGTGGTCACAATTCTCGACGACGGATTAGAGAAAGATCATCCAGATCTTTATAAAAATTATGTAAGTATTTTAGCGGATCTCTTATATATTTTTAATGAAAAATTGAAATCAACTTTTTAATCAACTTTTTCGATTTTAATAAAACTGTGATTATTAACACAAAATAGTTAACAAGCACATTTTTTAGTATTAAAATATTTTGGTTGCATTTTTCAATTTAGCTGCTATTTCTAAAATTTTGCGAACTGAAAATAATTTTTGTTTATGTTCGAGTAAATTGCATTTTGTAATTTTTCACAGCTATAGTAATTTTATATAAAGTAGCTTTCTCTCCGATTAAATTTATGCGAATAAGCAAAAACGCAAGCGCTTAATATAACGGGATGTACGCCAGTCCAATGCATTTTACATTCGCCGAGGCAAGAGAAAAATTAAAAAAAAAATTCCGACGAAATATACAGTAAAGTGCGGTAGATGAAGGTATCATGGATGCATTGCGAACGTTGGTTGTTGAATACAAATATTAGATGAGATATGCATGCATATAATGAGTAACTATTGATTCGCGGATGGTTACACCGAATGAGAGATATCTGCATACATGATAGAAAGTGAATCGCATTAATCAACCAGTAAACATATACACTGCGATGCTACACCTTAGTGCACTGCTCTGATTACGCGAGTTTATGTATATTCATTTGCATTTGTATTTCTTATTATGTAGATGTACGCGCAAATGTGTTCGTATTAAGAAAAAAATTTTTGAAAACATTTGCAATTAAATATAACTTAAATAATTTTGTTATACATATAAAAAGAATAAAAATTATACCTATTATTTTGTTTGCAAAATTTCGCTTTTCTAATTTTTATTATATTTTTCTTACTGTATACTTAATTTCTTTATAAAAAATTCTCACGAAGTGCTAGAACGATTTTAGAGAAATATACATGTTTTTGAAAAGTATTTGTCAAGACAAATTCAACGGTATATATCATAGCTCAATTGAAATCAAATATCAAAAATCAAGAGGCCAAATTTTTTAGTCAAATTTTGACGTTCAATTTTTGAATTTTTGGAAGCTGGATATCAATTGATTGGACAGAATTTACAAATAAATTTTTTTTTTATTTAACGCATGCAAAAAAATATTGAGTTGGTAAAAACTTGACACCTCACTTTTTAACATTTGATTTCAATTGGAACAGCAATGGTATATACTGTTGAATTTATCTCGACGAGTATTTTTCAGAAATATACTTCAAAAATATAAACTGCATATCGCATGTGTATTTTTATTATTATTTATTCTCGTTCACAATTTTATTTCAAGCAAATCTAATCTATGCGCATCTTGATTTGTATAATGAAGCAGAAATGGAATAATGTGAGATTTATCATGAAATGCATAAATTTTAATTAACGCCGTTGCGCTGATGATTTCTGTTGCAGGATCCACAAGCGAGTTATGACGTCAACAGTCACGACGAGGACCCAATGCCAAGGTACGACATGGTAGATAGCAATCGACACGGCACCAGATGTGCCGGAGAGGTCGCAGCCACTGCCAACAATTCTCTTTGTGCCGTAGGTGTTGCTTTCGGAGCTGGCGTGGGTGGTGAGTATCCAAAAAAACATTATTTAATATTTATAATCACGTGTACTGGGAATTGAAAGGATTTTTTGTACAGTATGTCGAATTTTTTATATATTTTATAAAAATTTAATTAAATATAATTTTGAAATAAGATAACAGAATAAGATAGCAATAAATTTATAGAAGTACAGAGAAAGAGAAAGATAAGAAGAAAAAATAGTTCAATACTGAGTCGACAGAGAAATAATAGTTTTATTTTAACACAGCAATATTATTAAAATCTCAAATTCCTCTATTTAGCAACTAGCAATAGTAATAGCGAAGTTGATGTTGGAATTCGCGCTATTATTGCGAGCGACATGTGCCTGTAATATTCAAAATTGATATTGCGAGACGGCAGCATCATTTTCAAATTAGAATCGGGATTGGCAATAGTCTGTTACATATGTTACATTCACGGATCTAAATCAGTGCGCGATGCCCAATTTCGATCTTGTAAATTGGATCCTCCGTTCTACGTACCGCGGGAATTGTGCGAGTTAATTAACACAAACATGAAATACCTGCAACTTAATTATTTAACTCTTGATATGCATATGGAATTCTTAAAAATTAGCGTTGAAATTTTCATATAAATTGATCATATATATATATGATTTGTTTTTATGTACAGGTGTTCGAATGTTAGACGGCGATGTGACAGATGCCGTTGAAGCAAGATCCTTGAGTCTAAATCCCCAACACATCGATATTTATAGTGCGTCATGGGGACCGGATGACGACGGCAAAACTGTGGATGGTCCCGGTGAACTTGCCACTAGAGCTTTCATCGAGGGAATTACTAAAGTGAGTGTTTATCACTGAAAATTCTACTACTTCTATTTTTTTACATTTATTTTGCTACGTTTAAATTAATTGAGGATTTTTCTAAATTAATTTTTTTTAATACAACTATATAATATAAATAAAAATAACCAACGATACTTCTTGTAAGAAAAATAGTTTCATTCACGGAAAAATTACTCAAAATATGTTGACGTATCTCGCAAATTGTTTCAACATTATTTAAACACTATTTGACAAAAATCAAGAATACTTCTAATAATAATCTTAATTGCCATATCTTTTTCATTATTACGTTTTTTTACGACCTTAAAATATGTTGCATGCCTCTCTCTCTCTCTCTCTCTCTCTCTCTCTCTCTCGAAGCTTCAAACTTCGATGTAGTAGCGTAATCCACTTAGGACTGCAATTTTCTTCGCTATAATTTCCCGCGTTATGACAAGGTAAATGCAATTAGCCGCAAGGTATCCCTGTACGAAACGGAAGCTTCTAGGTTGCTTCAAGACGCTTCCTTGACTCTCAAACGTCAAACTGCAGGAAATTTTCAAGCTTGGTATTACAACGCTTATGTTCTTAATACGTTACATAGAGAAACATTGATTATGAAATTCAAGTCAAATACTCGAACTATCGTAAATTATCTTCTGTCGATTGAGATAAAGATATTTAATCGAAGATTTTTTATCGCAAATTTTAATTGAAGATTATTCGAAAATTCTCGGAAGATTAGTACAAGTGCGAAAGTAACAAACGCCGATCGATGAACTATCTAATATGACGTTACAGTACTGAAATACCGAAGCGAGAAATTGTTCGCACGTAATTGGAGATCATTACGTTCCGATCTTCCATGATTTTTCTACGAACTGAAATTCCCCGAGAATTACTCTCATCGGTTGAAATCTTTGTTCCAGAGTAAAAAAAAAAGAAATTTAACGGCTCTCATGATTGGAGTTAACCAACTCCTGAGTTCAATTATCGTCCTTCTAATTTCTTATATCTCGCGCCAAAGGAATACGTTTAACTTGTTAATGGTTTCTCTTGTAGAATCAAACAAGCTGGAAAAGAAGTTGCTTTAAGTATCGCGAGCTTCGCTATTATTCCTTCAAAACTCATTCAGTGAGCGCGAATATTCGAGTTTTGCGTTTGTTACAAGATAATTATAAGCATTATCCATATAACTTTGTTATATTTCTTCGATATATAAATTTATATACATTTATATATTTTTTATATATTATATTACATATTTTTTATCTAATACATTTTCTCTTAAAGAAATATTTTATCGATAGAATTTTTTTAATAATTACTAAATAATTGACATTTTATAAATAATTGCACTATAAAATAATATTTATATTTTTTATCTATCTTTCGACTTAAAAATATAGCATATTTTTATAAAAGTAGGAATTCTCGTCCAATTCTCAATTTTAATATCGTTCGTCATAGCATCATAAAAGTGCAGAAAATATTATTGCATATAGACGAAAATATTTCATTGCTCCTCTCTCGTTTGTCACAAGAAGAAAAAAATTCATCCGTTCGTTATTAACGCGAATCATACGCTCGTGTCCGAATTGCAGAACAAAACGAAATTCGCACAAATGTATCACGCAAAAGCATTCTCCGAGATCTTTCAAATTTCATCTATGGCAACAATAGCCATATTGTCATCTCGATGTATGCATCTCGTGCAGAGATAGCGATTCTTCGATCGCGTTTTCGACACATCGCGATCCCAAAACGAAGATGAATTTTAGCATCAAGAGAGAGAGAGAGAGAGAGAGAGAGAGAGAGAGAGAGAGAGAGAGAGAGAGAGAGACTCTATTTCAAGTAACTATCATTAAAGTGCAGACATCTAGCATTAAAGACGAGCCATCAAGAACTGTTGAGAAACTTCGGTACTGAAAATCCTTGCTACTGAACTGTTTCTGGTATCCGCGTGAACTGTGTGACCCTGTGTCCTATTTTACGATAGCGTGATAATACTAAGGGTATTAATTAGCTTTTTAAAATTAAAAGCTATTTTACATTTTGCGAAACTTATTATTAATATAATTTTGAATGGTAATTGATTTAAAATATCGTTGATTAACTTATTCACAAATCACATGAAGTCAGTGCTGACTCATTAGAGTTTTTGATAATTTACGTACGTACTTGTGCAATAAACGGAAAGATTAATATATAGAAAAGACATAAATAATATAATGTTACGTTAATAATGTTTTCCGCATCTGATTGATCGCATCTTAACACAAACGATTGACTTCTTCCGACGAAGGCGTCGACGGAACGATGACAAACGTAATTCAATTAGCAACGACGACGACGAAGAACTCATCCAGCTAGACCCGGTTTAATAGACTCGCTCTCGGCGAGAGAGGTCAGCCTTCAGAAAGTTTCTAATTGGGTGCTTTTAAGCGACTGGCCGACTCTCGAGCCGCGTTAGAACGTATTACCATTTTAAACTTAGCGACTGCCAGCGAACGTAGCCGTGAAATATATGCAAATGTCAATATGCTCGATGCAAAACTATAGTTGAAATATATGGCAACCGGCGAAACATATCGAGGAAATGGTCACACACAGGTGCTTTCGTCGGGACGCATGAAAGAGCGTAATAGTCTCCAAGGCGACGAATTGCTAATGCATAGATTTGCGTTTGCATAAAGCTGTAAAACAAATTACGAAAATTGTGACGGAAAAAGCAATACAGAAAAGATATATAAAAATACAAAGAAGAAATTATATTAAAAGATTATATAAAATTATATGAAAAGTTATATAAAATTACATTAATTAAAAATAATTTTAAAAATGTATTTTAATCGATATAAAAGGAACTTAAGTAGAATTAAAATTTTAAAACGCATCGATTACAATTGTAGCTTTTCCTTATATTACAAGAACGTAAACGTTTCTGCATATTATAGGAATTATATTCAGCATACATTCATAAATAAGATCAACGATTAATAATGAAATGAGCAATGCTTCAGATATTTTCCCGGCAGCAATATTAAATAGCTGTCATTCCGTCAAGATTGCTTTCTTGGTCTCTTTTCAGATATTCCCGCAATAAGATATGATTGTCGATATCTGTATTCTCATTTGTATTATTTACGATTTTTATTATGCATGGATTAAACTTTTCGAAGTCAGAACCGAGATCAATACAAAAGATTGCCTTTGCACTGATCGCCTTGCTTCGATCTTTAAATATGCGTGTATGTTTTTCTTCACATCTTTTTATCCAAAAGTCTTAATTAATTAAATAATAATATTATATGCAATATAACTTATATTAATAAATGTATTATTGATTTATTAAATATTTTCTTAAACAGAATTTTGGTTTCTAAAGAGATCAAAATTAAAATTGTTAGCACAATTAAAGAACTTCACGAAAAGTACTAATATAGTTTTTAAATATAAATTAAACTGCTTCTTTTACAATAAATATAAATATTTAATAAATACTTTATTCGCAACAATACTTCGTCTCTTTGTTTCAAAGTAGGTGATAAGTTTACATTATATCATTCAACGTGTTATATCATTCAAGCAACTAGAATGCAAATGGTACTGATTATGTCGAGCTACTACATTATCCCGGCAGCAGCTTGGTTTCGCGCACAGTTGCACAGGAGGTATCTAGCGACAATTCCCTTTGTAACTGTATTAGATTATATATTATCTTATGTTCGACACACGGATGAATACGTTCTCTCTGGGGCCTGTTAACAGATTCGATAACTTCACCCTTGGGCCAATGGAAGCGTAACTATAGGTTTCATGTGTTAACCGATAGAATTACTTGAACCATGTTATATAGTTTTCATCAAGCTAAATTAATTTATGAACATCTTGATTTTTTCTATCTTCTTCTTCGTTGTTTGTACAATAATTTTATTGTTAGATTTAATTGATTCTCAAATCAATTAAAATAATAACTTGTAATTTCTAAATAGACAAAGTTGAGCGATGTTTATTTATCGGTCTAATTTTTAAATTGTATTATTTTTATATTATATAACTTTGTGTGTATGTATTATATAATTATTAAGCATTTGTAAATGAGATTTTTGAGAAAAATATCTTTAAAAACATAAATTTATTGTAAAATATAAGACATAACGTAATTACACCTAATTAACAATGATTATACAAATGATATCTGAAATATTGATGTAGCCAAGTCTATACTTTATCACTTTACGTTTAAATAACTTTCTGATCAAAGGCTCAAGCACTATATTACTGAATTAGTTAACGTCAGGTCTCAAAGAGAGTTCAGAGTTCGTGGTCACGCCTACACGATACCTAAGCACACGGTGTCTGGTCTTATCACGAGATAGCCGGACCTCTCAATATTAGAGAGCACCTGCAATCTTAGAGTAAAACAGGCTAGTGTGCACAAATATGTACCAAAATATTTGTAAAGGAAAATTTGCAGTTTATAATAAAATCTACATACAAGGTGACGTTAATTAACTTTTTTTAATTAAAAAATATTGGTTAAGAGAGTTCATCTATTATTTTTATTAAAATGCCTTATATATATTATATAATTATTGTCTTTGTATCAGTGATTAATTTAATGGTTAATTTTTTTTTCAAAAATTGTTTTCAAAATTTTATGGTTTTTAATATTTTCATCTTAACGAAAATACAAATTCAATTTTCCTTTTAATTTTCGAAGAAGATAATACATACATGTAGTGCTAGAAAGTTTCGCGTCACAAACTCGAGGCAATTTTGTCCTGACCTTACGGAGACTATTAACTCTAAACATTCAATCTCACCGACTTCCTAATAACAGTTTCGTTCCGAATCATCCACTGTGTGTCTTCGGGCGCAGAGAAAGCGCCTTTAGCATGCAAAGTGTCTTAAACTTCTAAAGCGCCTTAAGCGCTCCCGAGCATCTTAAACCCAAGTACTAGTAAAAAAAAAAAAAAATTCGACCACATCTAAAGTACTCAAAGTGGTAAACTCAGATTCATTTTAGCTCGTAGCATTAAATACGCCCGTTAAATCCCGCTGTTCGGCGGTCTGAAATTACTCAAGCGTTCTTTTTAAGATTTTTATAAGGATCTAAATATTAAAAAAAAAATCGAGCTGTTAAATCTGATATGCATGTACCTATAATGTATTTCGCCTGCTTCAAAAAGCCTGTAATCGAGCCTTGAATCTTCAGGGTCGCAACGGTAAGGGCTCAATCTTTGTCTGGGCGTCCGGAAACGGTGGTCGAGATTTCGACAATTGCAACTGTGACGGCTACACCAACAGCATTTGGACTCTGTCCATCAGCAGCGCGACCGAGAACGGCCTTGTGCCCTGGTACAGCGAGGCGTGCTCGTCCACTCTCGCTACCACTTACAGCTCGGGCGCTAACGGCGAGAAGCAGGTCGTCACTACGGATTTGCATCATCACTGTACAAGCAGCCACACGGGCACGTCCGCGTCGGCGCCTTTGGCCGCTGGTATTTGCGCCCTCGCCCTAGAGGCGAACAGAGCACTCACCTGGAGGGACATGCAGCACATCGTGGTCAGAACTGCCAAACCTGCGAACCTGCAGGCACCTGATTGGGTCGTGAACGGTGTCGGTAGAAACGGTGTGTATTTATTAATTTCTCGGAGATAAAAATTTTTCCTAAAAATGTTCATGAAAAAAATGAAAAGAAATTGTCAAAATTATTGGTAAAATTACGTCGTAATATACATAAATTAAATCATCGTCTCAATTTTTGAAGAAAGAAAATTTAGGAGGATGCAATTTTGATCTATCTATCATCAAGCTATTTAATAAACTGTGTGAAATTAATTGATATAAAAATTGTTTCACAATGTCGGGATCGCATTTTATGTTCTGACAGTGAGCCATAGCTTCGGTTACGGGTTGATGGACGCCACTGCCATGGTACGCTTAGCAAGAAGATGGAGAACCGTTCCGGAGCAACACAAATGTGAAGTATCGGCGCCACACACAGGCAGGTAAGTGCTCGTAAATTGCATTGTTAAATAAATGACAGCAATTTCAAAATCAGTGTGTCTTATTTCAAGTATCGATAAGTTAACACCAAAAAATTGTATTTTTATTTTTAAACGGCGCCAAGAATTCCTCTTAATGTAAGCATTTTTCTACTGAAAATAAGAATAATCATCTCAAATCAAGAATAATCATCTTAAATTAAGAAAATCCTCTTAACGCCATTTTTGATGAATAGAAAAACGAATGATATGACAATTATGCGGAAAATCATCGATCTTAGGAAAAATATTAGAAACTGTGGAGAATCGAGATTCGACTGTATAGATCACTATTTGTCCTTAAAGGAGCAAACACGCTTCTCGTAGATTAGATTCGTTCGAGCATGTCGGCTACCGGGAAACGGGCTTTATCCGCTTGAAATTGCATGGGAACCACGTGTAATACGCCACTTACACTGTCGAGGGTTGTAATGAATGAGGACAGATAACATTTGCATTAAATGAGTACAATTTACATAATTTAGGACTTTGGAACTAAATTTTCCTAATATATAATTAAGTATAAAAATCTCTGTACTTAATTCTATGTAAAATAATTTTATGTACAATAATTTTTAAATCAATTAATTACATAATCTAATATTCATTTCTCAAATAACGTTAAAATAAAAGCCGACTTTTGTTTAAAAATTTATTAATTATTTAATTGATGTAGAGGTACTTTTATTTCTATAAAATAACAGAAATGATATATAATTTTAACGTAAATTCAACTTTGATGTATTTTCACGAACAGAAATGATTTTCTTTCCATTTAATTTTAGCGTTACTAAAATAAATCCGCGTTACTGCTAAAAGCACATTCGAGAGGAGGTATGAGTAACATAATTGACCGAGTTCGAGCGATGATTTAAAATTGGCAATGCAGTAATTTTATAAAAATGTATCCACGTGAAAATGTACTTGCGAAGAATTTTGTGCACGAGCTTAACACTTGACCCGAATTTCGTCTACTTTCTAGGACAATACCGCCAAAGAGCCAATTGGTACTCGACTTACATGTCAAGGAGTGCAGCGGCGTTAATTTTCTCGAGCATGTTCAGGTAAGTCGAGCACGTCACTCATACTAGTGACATCACTAATTAGTGGGTTTCGTGTCGGCCATGAAGCACATGTTCGACCAATAATTTTGAGATAATGTTTTTCCAATTAACGCTGAATTGATAAAATTTTTATTCATCTTTCCATCAAATAAAAATTAGTTTATTTATTATCACTGATATATACTATTCTATACTGTCTACAGAAAATATAAACTGTAATATATCAAATAATTACTTCATTTCTAACTTATGATATATTAATGACTTATTTACCCAACGAAGCGTAATTATTGAACTGTGTTTAAATTGTATTAAAGAAATTAAATCAATTAAGAGTTAATTGCTGTTATAAAATTATTAATTATTAGGCGTAAAATTATCTCGTAAACACTACATTTTATTATTTGAACTAACTAGCAGAATTGTACAGAATATAATTATATTAATGAAATATCGTAATATCAATTTGAGAATTTATTGATTTTGGCTTATGTGTATCAAGATGTGCAAATTGCAAGTGCCAGTAATACTTACGAAGAATGTACAACATTTGCGATAACGAAGCAACAATATGCTTGTCGCAGGCGAAGGTATCGCTGATGGCAACGAGACGAGGGGATCTTCAGATACAGCTAACATCTCCTCAGGGTACGAAGAGCACTCTTCTCGCCAAGAGACCGCACGACATTTCGAAGGCCGGCTTCAGCCAATGGCCATTCATGTCAGTGCACACATGGGGAGAGAGACCGCACGGTACCTGGAAATTAGAAATTCACAATGAGGGTCGATATCTCGGTAAGTTAATCACATCATATTGATTCGAAATTATCTATCTGTCTTTAATTGATTTTCATTGCTGATAATTAAGATTAACTAATCTAACACATTTATTGTTTGAACTAATACTGCCTCTAAATCTGCATCGAAAAATTATTTATCTGATTGAATAATCTAATAAAAAAAACGAGTAAATAATTACAGTTATTTTTTAACATTAGATAAATTGTGGTCGTTACTGTCCAAGTCTTTACATCTCATCCACGATTTCTCTAATTTGTTTGAAAGTTTTGAAAATGTATTACTGTTAATTAATTAGGTTTATGCAATTGTCTGATACACGAAAATCATTTACGATATTCATCAAAATATCAGGTTATATTTCTTCTAGATATATAGAAAAATTACCTTTATTAAATAATTTTAATTAGTATTATTAGATGATAGAAAATAAGATTAAATTAATTAATATATTATTTCAATTTTTTATGGAGGTCCTACCTTAACAAAGATGAGCTTTGAAGTTTTAAAAATATTCACGAGCCGACAACATATTACTATTTTAATTTTTATAACATATTATTTTAAAATTTAATTTGCAAATTAACACTTTATTAATATTTTTTGACAGAAATCAGCTGATTAAAAAGCGTTTGTTTTATTACACAAAAAATTAAAATTCATTTAATTTAATTAGGAAGGAAACATATATCTGTGCTAGCAGATTTGACACTGTTGTAAGAATTAATTAACAAATAGTGCAAATGTTTAATGCAATCACTAAATAAATGCTGTAACTCAATAATCGGCTCGTGAATACTTTTAAAACTTCAAAACTTACTTCTGCTAAATTAGCACCACCGCCGTAAAAAAATCGAACTACGTTTAAAGACTTTAACTCTCTAATGTTCTTAATGATTCTCTTGCTATAAAGTAAATCTACTTTTAAAAATCTCTTTCAATCGTTATTTGAAATAGTCATCGTCAGATTTATATACGAAAAATATTATACGCTCCGAAGCATAATGTTAGATTAGAACGTCAAAGACAAGCATCTCGGAGATTACGCCGACATTAGACTCAGCATCCGGAGATGCCGTTCGCTGATCTAAATTTCAAATAGAATTCCACCTTGTTCGCTGTAACAATAGTTTCCAAGTGTCCAAGCAGTGCCGTCATAAGGTCACGGTTACTAAGTTCTCTGCCAGTTGCAGTCTCTGCCGGTCGAAAGTGCTGAACAAGAAATCAGCTGATATTGACATCTAGTAACTCTCACCTACATTCCAACGTATAAAGTGCGTGAAAGAAATCTATTTTTTTTAAACGCTCGATCGAACGATAAGCGCTCGCAGTAGGGATAAATTCGCGTCACAAAGGATTAGTCCATTGATGCGCGTGATAATCCGGGCGGAATAGCTTCTACATACCTAGCATTGCATGCACATTCTGCAATGCGATGCCGAATCAGTCGGCGGGATCCACGGTATTCTCGTAGTCCGTGTCTAGGACGCCATGGGGAGGGCTCTTACGTAAGCTCTATGCGCGCGCGCGCGATTACCTAAGAAGGTGCATTATCCCCGAAGGTAGATAATTGCCGGTTTCGAGCACACACAACAGAGCCCTACTGCAAAAGCACTCCTGCTTTAACCCCTAAACAGCAGCGAGATGCTTTGCCGCAGCCGATCTCGAGTAAGGTACAAGCGTTAAAACCACTTCAAACTGCTTCCTCGTAAGGCTAATCAAGGCCGAGGGCTACATAAATTTCCTTACGCGCCCCTGAAGCTATACTATAAAGCATAGAACTATAAAGTACATCAATTATTGTGTAATATTGTGGATTGCGTTTCGGAAAGCTAGAGGATATTTCGCTCTAAAACCCCATTCCGCTGTTTATATTGTCGCAAGTATCCCATGGATGCGTTCCGCCATTGCCACCATTGTAAACGCAACGAGAATTAAGATCTCCACAGAATTCCCGCTGATATTCATTCTCATTAACTCTCTAAGACACCGAAGAATGGTTCACTTCGGCTTTTAATTATTTCTAATATCGCCAGTGATCATCGCATTACTATCTTTCCTTTAATCGTGACCGTCCGCTTTCTTTCCCGCTGCATTCTCGGACGCATTCCGGATTCAGGACGCGCTACTCTGCACGAATGGGCGCTGATCTTCTACGGCACTGCGACGCTGCCCGATCGGACGGAATACGCTCTTTACAATCCGGCAGGCATGAACATGCCCAGACGGCCGTTGGTGAAGCCGCGCGAGACCTTCTCGAAGAACCAGAACGCCTTGACGAAGGGCAAGCAGACGCAGCACAAGTCTGATAAATCCGGCAGTCTGAGTCCGCCTTACGTGGTGAACGCGCAGATTCAGTCTCAGAGGAAGGGCAAAGCTCGCGGCCAGCATAAGAATGGCAAGTCGGCCAATCGACCGAATCCCAAACCCACCGCGCCGACCTTGCGAGGCCTCACCGGGCTAAACAGAGGGCCTAATAACGTGGTCGGGGACATGCGCTTGATCACCTCGAGACCGCGTGGCAGAAGTACACCGAGTCCGATTACCAGCACGGTGACCCAAGCCATCGCGACGACGAAGACGCAGACCACGACGACGAACAGGCACAAGAGCGTCGATCTGGTGACCACCTCGCCTCTCGAAAGGGGACTGATCTTGTTGGAACCGCCGGCGAAAGCGGCCACGAACAAGGTCCCGGCGGTATTTCAGCAGTATCCTAAGATTCAGCAGCTGTATCCAGTTTATGGCGGAGCTCGCGGTATCTGTCAGCAACATGCTACCAGGGCTAAAGGACTCGATCTGCTGCAGGACGAGCAGTTCGATTCGAGGAATCTGCAGCTGGACAAGGGTACTTAGATACCTTCGAAGGAGAGTCGGCGAGACGCGACGGGTGTTTAACGATCGGAAGCCAGATTTACAATATATTCGTGTATAAAAGATATAGTTCATCGCTTCGATATAACGATTTTAATTAGAACTAATATTAATTTAAACTCAATATTTTAATAAAATTTAATTAGAGGCATTTTTATATGGTATATGTAATTATTTTGCAGATTTTATATTAAAGGAATCTAAATTTTGAATTAAAAATTAGATGTCAACGCTTACACAAAATTGAAATGTGATAATTTGCAGAATTGATGAAAGATTTTTTGCGGAAAAAAATATAACGTCGTGTACACAGATAATCGCAAACGCGCGCAGTGAGTAATGATGGCAATTTATATACGCTATTGTTACCCAAGGGCGATATTTTGTAGGACAACAAAGAGAATCGTTTCACAGCTTCCGATCGTTTCGCATTCGCTTCCACGTGTCCGCTTGCGCTACCATACGAAGTACGAAAAGTAGAGATGCAGTATCGTGCAAAAGCCGAAGATTAAACGGATCCGCTGGAATTTGGTTTTCGTATTCTGCCTTTTGTTCGTGTTCTGTTTCGCTGATTGCGACCCTCCCGTGTGATCACCGTTATTTTCGTTTGTTACACGAGCATATTACCTATAGTTATTAATATTGTCGCACTTTGGACAACCTTATTTCGCGTTATTCACGTTCATACTTACATTTTTTATATCTTGAATACAGAATATTCCGCGTGGAGTGATGTCTCTGCATGTTTTATGACGTGTGACGAGAATTCTATTTGTTATGTAATTTGTTCCTCTCTACCTGAAAATAAGAATTTCTCGATGTATTTTGCAATATTCCATTTTATCTTTGATACTGTTTATGATACGCGTGGATGACTTTACGCGGAATATTTTGTGTATGCATTTTAATATTTTCCTGTAGCTTGTAGATATATAGATAAAATATCGTAAGTAAAATATTGTTGTTTAATTTCTGTTATGTATTAAATAATTTAAAATATTATTTATGCTTAATCTGTGTAAATTATTAAATAGTTTATTTAAGATTTGATCAGCAACCTTCGAGAAGATGTACTGCTTTGTGATTTTGAAAAGCACATTGCATTTGGACACATTTTATTTTCAATTATTATAAATGGAAGCGAATCTGTACATTATAAACCTTTGCATGATTTTGATATGTGCACGAATATAAAAAACATCTCAATATTTTTTCATTAAAAATTACCTCATTAACTACATACGTATTTTATATTATCGTATTAATATAATTCTATGTAGTCTATTATAAGAATTATTAATTATTTGATATATTTTTTATTGTAAATTATTTATCATCAAATTGACATTAAATGTTTGGAGAGCCTCTTCTCTTGTGAGCAGAATATACGTAAAGAGAAATTTTGCATAGTTTTACTATTTTTATGTTAAACTCCTGTTTCTTTTTCATGTTGTTTTTCCTGCTATAATTGAAGTCCTTTACGAAAGCGATAGATCGATAATAGGAAAACTTATCGAGGCTGGTAACGCGCTATAGCCTTCAATCAAAACTTCCAGTGACTTGATTATCGATGAGTTTCGTATGCAGCTCTGAGCATATCCGTGTGCATCGACTATCTAATGAATTGTATGTATATATATACCGCTGCATATCTATTACCTTCGTGATCATTATTTTTCAGAAAATATTGTGTATTTCATACATGTATGTTTATTTTCAAATTATAAACAAAAATTATCATATTTTTTAAACACGCAACTTATAATTAATACTTTTTGTATTTAGTAGGCGCGTGTCATATGTCTAGTTTTTGTGTCATCAAAAAGTAAAATATTCAAAAGAAATTATACATATCGTACAACTGATATATATTTTTTATTAGATTAGCTTATAATTCACATGTTATGTTATTTCGAGAAATATTTATCAATGTAGATAATAGTAATAGTTTATTTGCAAATTATCTTTTTCGCAGAGCAATTTAGCGAAAATTGCTTACACAATGACGTTCGTCATTACGCATCGCGCTCGTTATCTCCTTTTGGAAATTCTCGAATTTTAGATTATCGTGTAACCGCAAATCGTTGAAAATTCAGTGCAATGCGACGAACGGTAGTGAAAACCGCTAATGCGCGCCGCGAAATGGAAAAGCCGACGCGATTGGACGAAGTCCATCATCATAGAGCTGCTCGAGCAGCTCTCTCGTTCATCATCGATGCTAAATAATTTCCGCCGTGATTGGAAACTTTTTTCGTTCGCTTAACCCGATGGAATGATTTCCATTCTTAAGACATTATTACGGAGGCTCGACCTTCTCTTCTATATACGCGTCTGTTAACGACCCTTCAAGCACAATGCTCCTACGTCCTATTGTCTTACGGGTAGCCGACTTTTGACATTTTCACCCTCCTTGCACCCTTTCTCCTCAGCTAGATTACTCAGCCGGCGAGTTATTTTTTTCTCGATATTTCGCGTAAAACGACCGTCCAGTCTCCTTCCATCCAGTCGTCGCGACGTTTGACACTTTACAACCGTCTTGCGTCTCGTATAATAACTTTTAACGACAATTTTATTATAGACGATAGTTTACGTCCGACTGACGACAAAAAATAACACACACGAGAGTAGTCTCGTCACGAGGTAACGGAAAATTGAATTTGCTTCTTCGCCGCTTTAATTTTTTCTCTCTCATACGCAACCGTCGCCAATTTCCACTTGTGAAATTCAATTTCTCTCATGAAGTGATTTTATTTGAAGCCATATGCGCGCTTTAATTTTTCCCCTCCAGCTGTTAGTAAGATGAATAAGATAATAATACCGTTCACAAAATTTAAGCTACTTCTTTGGATTTATATTTTATTTTTTAGTTTGTCGAATAAAATAATAAATAATAAAATATTTTGACGTATGTAAAAATATTGAATAAATTTTTAATTAATTTAAATTAATAACACATTTTTCATATCTAGAATAAAATACAAGATTCCTATTTTATAATAATAAATTCTTTGAATTGTTTTCGATTGATATGCAAATTGCCACGTATTACAAACGAATTAACTGAATAATTTTATATCAACCGTTAATGACTGCTCGACAAATGGAATATTCAGAATTAGCTTCCATTTAGTTCTGTCTTGTCCGTAATGCGCGGTGGAAACGTACAGGTGTATCTAACTCGACATAAAAACGATAATCATCCACGAGTTCTTACCGTCTTCTCGTTGCAAAGCTCTTTGCATTTTAATTTCGACGTATACATTTCTTTGAATAAATATGCACGGAGAGTCATCCCTGATTACTTGGTTATTTTTAACTCTTATTTAATCAAGAAACTCGCAACTCTTCTCTTTCTCTTTCTCTCTCTCTCTTTCTCTCTCTCTCTCTCTCTCTCTCTCTCTCTCTCTCTCTCTCTTTCTTTCATTCTCTCTCTGTCTTTGTTCCCGCGAGTGAACTTAAGACAAAGTTTTCCCCACGGCATCGTAACGCTTTATTAATTTCTTGACGGCGTCGCCGACGTCCTCGCCATCTCTTCCACTGCCTTGCTTGCATTTCGTCTATCTCATAAAACCTTTAATTTAACATGGCCCTTACTTGTGTGAAATCTTACGTTATATTTACAGACAAGGTCGTAAACTAGTTTCCGAGAAAAGCACATTATTTAATATATAAAGAGAGATCTGATGAAATGAAAATCATCCGCCGGATCGAATAATAATTACGTTCCGTGTGATGATTTAAGAATGAATGTTCCGTCAACTTATGTCCCTCAGTTGCTTGAAAAATCACACGTGTGATCTTTGTAATATTTTTTTTATATCGCATGAAAATAATACGTTTAAATTCCATCCTTCAGAACCTCTCTTTCTCCATGGAAATGGCTGCGAGATTTAAATGCGTAAAGCTTGCATTTCCATTCTCTGGAACCGCAGTACGTATGATGTAAAATTCATTACGGTTGATTGCAATTGTGTCTGCATGTGTGTATTTAACGTAAAAATAACAGTAGGTAGTTATTATTTCATGATTGCTATACGATAAATATTATTCTCAGCCAAAGATAAAACTTTTAGTTCAGTATCTTCCAAGCTTGCACTTTTTTTCCATCTTATCGTCTCTCTGCTTACCGTCGATTTATCATTTGTACATATAATATGTATATATATATATATATATATATATATATATCTAGATATATATATATATATCTTGCGTTTTTTGTTAAACACTATAATTGCTTGTAGAGTACTACGAACAAGACAATGTTTTATTATACAGAAAGAAGAATGTTAAAAATGCACAGAGATGAAGTAACAATTTCAAGACGTTATAAGATTCGCTTCAGTTTTCTTTTCCAGTAGATACACATATTATTTTTCCTTCTGTCTCTGATTTGAGCTGTGCGACTGAATCACGTTACGCGAAATATTCCTGCACAATCTCTCGAACGTAAAGTAGTACTCATTATTAACCGTTTTACCTTCAATCTCGCCAATGTAGCCGGCGGTGTGTTGTTTCAGACACACTGGAGGAGTGGAAGCTGGTGTTCTTCGGCACGGAAACGTCGGTGGAGATAGACGACGAGCTGGACAAGGACAAGCCGTTGCCGCCGGTGGTACACCAGGACGTGAGTCAGAGCAACGCGGCCTCGGACAACGTTCGGCACAACGCCGTGGATGCCGAGGGCGATCCGTGGACGGGCAGCCAGCAGGTGAACCGGGTCTCCCATCCGGAGGTGCAGAAGCCTACAACGGAAAACCAGACGAGTGGCTGCGCCGCCCTCGAGAGCGATGGCACCAGGTGCCTAGGTGGGTGCCTCATACTACTCCTTCTAGCCTACCTGACCGGCTTGCCCGACTGGCGGGAGCTGATCACCAGCTGGCCAGCCTCGTGGACCAACGACGCGGCGATAAATCGCTTGTCGAAAGCGCGCGAATGTTCATGATGATAACGGGCCAGGTTTGTGATGACTCGGTCGATTTCACCGGGAGACCCGCGAAAGCGGTTGTCAACGACGTGTGCCTGATGCGTCTTTGTGATCCTTATGTGAGACTTTAACTGTACTTGTGATACGTGTCGCGTGAAGGTGGAAGACAAGAGGAGGCGAACGGAAGAATTCTCGTCCTTCCTCTGCCGGTGCTATTATTTTGAGGAGGGATCCTGGGGGACTTTCTCGATATTGGACTGTCGTCCGTCCTCTGTCGTCCCGCGTAAAAGGATTGCATGGGTTAGATGACGGACGTGAAGCCGATGATCCCGTTGACACTTCATTGCAGCGTTCCTCTCGTCGACAACGTGATATTTCTTCGCTGACGCACGTCGCTAGGTTTGGCTTCCCGAATTCGTTTGTGTCATGCGAGGAAGTGTTTGGGTCTCTTGATATAGTTGACGCGATACATCCCGGACGCTTGCGCAGTGATAACACTTCATTCGAGAGGAGCGTCAATGTAGCGGCTTCGATTGATCGAAATTTGTCACGGGGAGGATAGGACTCTCAATAACCCTATGAAACAGGAAATGCGCGATTCTATTTCCAGGTACAATGGTAAACTCTCGATTTTCCGTCGAAGAAATTTGTTTCCGACGTGTGGAGTATTTTTTTATTTAGGCTCCATTAAAGGAATTTTATTTTTTTTCCTCATTGTGTACTTAAAAAGAAGAGTACGTAATATAACGTTGCGTCTTGGAAAAATTTCAACAGAAACCACGCATTGGACAAGAGAAATCTACGGTAAGTTGTATGCAAGGTAAAATTGTTGATATGAAATCTCGCGGGAAATTCAGCGTTACAAGTTTGCTCGCGATGGACGCAAGGTAATGTGACTTTTTTGCATGTTGTTCGACTTGTTAACGTCGTTTCTAACGCTATCTTTTGTGATGAAAGAACTTTCTGCTAAAGTAACTTGATATTTCTTTGATAAACGAAACAAGCAAGATAAAAATTGAATACAGCAGACTCTCCAAGAAGAATACGAAAAAATAAATAAATAATATTTTAAATGCATTGACATAACGCGAGAAAATCGAGAGTCCATCATTTTTTCAAATCTCTCTTCATACAGTCGCAGCAGTTGCCGCAACTCCACGAAAGTGCTTGTAAATATATGCAAAACGTATTTATTATACTTCGCGGAGTTACGTGCGATCTTCCAAAAAGTTTTGAGAGTAATGGCGCTTCCGTGGCATCCCTTTCCTCCATGTTGAACGGAGCAGAAATGGGTAAACGACTAAATGTTTTGACAAATACATTGCGAAACTACTTGAGTTTTACGCGATAATAATCTGACAATAGCCTCACATCTGATTCTATCAACCGTATTCGCGGTTCTATTCGACATGTTCAGAGAAATGGGATATTATCGTTTTTAATATTAAAGAGATGCACGATAAATGAGAACTGAGTTCTTTCCATTAACACTATTTCATCTAGTCTTATAATGCGCAGCTGTATCGATGAAGCTTTCCTAGAGAACGAGAATCAGGTTTTCTTAAATTTTTCAAATTCAAAAAATATCAAGGAAAAATTCTCGAGCGATTACAATATCTACATAATGCAATACGGTATATTTTATGCCCAATTCTGCTCGGCGTTTCGGTCAAAATCGACCACGTGGCAACGTTTCCGTTTCGCATATATGTGGCTCTCCGCATGAAACTTTTGTATGAGACAAAAATGTGACAGGGAATCATCGCTCAACTGCCATTAGCGAGACCGACCTCGCGTTCTGTCTCTCCTGGAAAAATCGCCTCGCGTAACTTATAGTACACCCGATATAGAGTTGCAATTCACTTCGGTCATATCATCGAGTTTGATCGACCAAGTGGCTCTAACGTGTTCCAGGGAGGCGGAGAGAGACACTTTTTCTCTCGCCTTCTTCCATTTCTCCTTTTCTTTATCTTTATCTTTCTCTCTCTTTCTCTCTTTTACACGTTCATATGCATGATAATACGCAATCTTCCTCCTTCTCTCTTTTCTTCTCGGTTCATTTTGATCTGTTTTTTCTTCATTTCCTCGTCTGTCAGTCTACGTCTCTTAACATCCTTAATATCTGACTATTAGCTTTCATTTGCGTTCTGTTCTGAACCTTCCTCTACGCTTCATAAGCACTCTACGTCCCTCTAAGGGAGTATTCGGTAAGCTATCAGCACTGCCGAAACTAGGAGCTACAGGGAGGTTCTCCAGCTGCCTACGTAAACAGTTGGGAACGGAGTACGTAAGGCCGGATGTGGATTTTGAGTACACGTTAAATTCCGAGCTTTATATAGATGCTCGTGTTTTTAGAAATTTTTACATTGAAGAATAATACGGGTCCTTCTTATTAACGAAATAATATTCATGCACACGGCAGACAGCATATGCAATTCGTTTTTCTTAATATAAAATATCATTCTTAATATAAAATATAAATTATGATAAAAATGTGCGAAATTTTACGTAAATATTCCGACAGTAAAACAAACGATGAAAAAAATAATTAATGAAATATTTTAATTTATTACACTTTCTCTCTCTCTTTCTCTCTTTTTCTCTGTTGAAACATGTGAAATTTTATATATATATATATATATATATATATATATATACATATATATAAATAAATATTATACTACATACGGAAAAAATACAAACTTTAAATGCTTCTTTTTTAGAAAAAGTTGTGTCGGCACGGTGTTGCTCATTTGTAATTCACATTCGGCCTCGGAGATTACAGTTATATCAAATTTTGCGACACAAAACTTGCTCAAAACGTTGTTACCTATAAATAATGAAAAACCGCGCATATATCGATCCCCAAACGTTTGTATAAGTAATTAATCGATACGCCCATAGTGCTTAGCTAAGACTCGACGGCGAGATAAGAATGTATCGCGACGTTAAACGACCTGATATTTTCTGAACACTTTTTAGATACCATCGTTTTGCTCAGAGGAACGCTGATAGACACCGGCACGGATACGTTCTATTTCAAGCTTAAAGCTGATTGTGCGCGCTTTTGTAGAAATTTCGATTGCGCGGAGATAAGCGAGGAAGCTCGATGAGAAAGCTGAAGCTTCGCGGCGAATTGACGGAGCGATTTTTCTTTATCGTGAGACGATCGTCAATGAGTTATCGAGTCGGAAAGAAGTTTTCGCCAGAATGCGAGAATACGCTGCTCCTGCGACGATACGTTTCTAGTATTTACGATTTATATCCTGGCGCAGAATCCAATCATGTTCCGTCGAAAGTTGCGGGCCACAAATCAGAAGTTAACTGCAAAATCTGCGCATGACAGGGAAATCGAATCACAATCAATACAAACTTGCTTCCACTTGGATATCAGACGACTATAATAAAAAAAACATAAACGCGATTGAAACACACATTGACTCTAATCGACGTAAAGTTTCCAGAGAAACATTGATCAATAAGATAGTTTAATATAGGTTCTCTTTTCTCTCTTACACTGTTATTACTTTATCGAGAAATTGCAGTAAAATGTACCAATTGGACTAAATTGTTCGATAAATTTTTCTATATTTTTTAAGTTCGTGTACGATCAATTTGACAAACATTTCGCAAAATATCATAGCTACATGACGATTCGATCGATATCGGTTCATACGAAACTTTCGTGGCGCATCGAAATTCTAAAAGCACTGAACAACCGTCCGAAAAAGGGAATATCGAATGGTTGCGAAATTAAATTGACGTTACAGTCGCAATACTAAATGTCTCTTTCGGAGTGGCGTTCTGCAAATGAAACGTTTGTGATTTTTCGAGATGCGCTGGTACTCTAATGGATGGCTTTCGAATGAAATCGCGAACAAAAAAAAAGAAAAAACTCTCGAATGTATTAATTCCAGGATCGGATAATATTATCTCGGTCGAGAGATGTAAAAGTCGGTCAAATGCTTTTGCATCGTGTACACTCAATTTGAAAATTAGTGTTCGTTACACAGATTTATTAGTATTTGTATACTAAATAGAAGGTAAAACAAAAATTTTATTAACTTTCGTTTTAGGCGACTAAGAGAATTAACAACATATATTTATTCTCTTCAACTTTCACCTGAATAAATCAAAAAACATTGTTTCAAGTTAAAAAAAAGGTATGCTATTTTTCTTTGTTTTATAATACTGTGTTTCAGAAATAATTATCGCGACTTTCCACGCTTTTTAATTTGCACATTTGATAATTAAAATTAATGCATTATTAAAATGTGTTTGGAAAATATGTATATATTATATTAAAGTACTCAGCTTATCTTTAAAACTCCAAATCTTTACGTTAACAATTTTTGATCGAATTTTATTATCTATTTTGGTAAGACGAAAACTAATCACTGCCAAAAGGAATGTTGCAATTTTAAAGCTACGGATGAGTAAGGAATATCGGATCGCTTCAACTTTCAGGTTACATTAGGATGGCAGCTAAATCCTTAGAAAGTGGAACGCACCAAGTGCGATCCTAGTGCAATATTTCTCAGTGGATGGAAATACATATATATAGAAAAGATATTTAATATTTTTCACAGTTCTCTTTTTCTGTCGATATTGAGAGAGAAAAAAATAGTTGCGACTATAGCCAGTTTAGTTTTTTTTATAGAGATTGTATAGTGTACATTTTTTATGCGGATGAATAAAATCCCTCTGCGAGAGCGATCGATATGAGCAAGAGAATCCAAATTTTATAGTGGGAGAACGGAAAATCGTGTTTACCGCCAATACGATTTTCAGGAGTCCCCTTTTATACTTTATGCGAGCTCTTTCGATTCTTTGCATGCCCGCGGGTACAGGAAAGATCCAAAATTTGCACAGAGAATCGGA